CTCTGTCAAAGTGACTTTGGCACGAGCACGTATCCGCCTTTCTCCCTTTGTCTTCCAAACCTTTCTCCAGTGTTTGCAGTTATCCATGTGCTCAGCGATGGAACAGCCTATTGTTAGTCAGGCGAGGGCAAAGTCACACTGGGATTTTTGAAAAAGAAAAAAAAAAGCCAGTTCTTTACCTTGCCTAAAACTTTGTTAAATATTAAACTAGCCATACCAAGGAGTTTAGTGAAAGCAAACACTGAGGGTTTGCTAAACTTAAGCCCAATAAAGTAGAAAGTTAATAGTCGGGTACAGAGTGTTTTCTGTTTTAGAAAAGCCAGCTATGACAATACACAAGTGCAAATCAATGGTGCCTTAGAAGGTTTAATTAAAGAGAGCGAAGGTGAAGCCAAGACTGCAAAACTCTGAAATCACAGAGAGCTTTTCATGACTCGTGGAGAACCCAAGCATCTCCAACATTCAGGGTAGAATAGCTCCTGATGAGGTGTGTAATTCTTTATAAATTAGAATTTCTTTTATTTATTGTATTTACTTATTATAATTTATAATTCTACATAGCACCCACAAAGGTTGCTGCACCCTGTCCCATTTTACACAATGAAGGTGGCGCCCAGAAAATACATGGCGAGATTGTGTCGTGAGGCAGCTGGAGTTGTTTCCTTTTCTCTCCCCACTCCGCCATCGCTCGCAATTAAAAATGTGCGTGCACCTCACCAGATCTTGGGTACCAGGGCACCGCCCCAGCGCTCTTTGAGAACAGAGCTGCTGATGGGATCCAAAGTCATATATGTAAACTCTAAAAAGGCAAGGATAAAGCACAAACCAAGGAGGGCTCAAACTGATTGCCAAGAGTCGAGAGGTCTTTGCTTGGATTGAGCGTAATAATTTGTACCGACCTTGTTAATGCTGGTGTGCCCTGGTAAAATTAGCTTCTCATTGCAAGGAAAAACACCTGCATAAGTTTTCAGGGCCTGATGTTTTTTCTTTAAATTATGTGGTTGTGTTTTGATCTGATGGGTTTCGAAGGGAACAGGGAAGAGAAAGGAGAGGAGGAGAACAGAGGAACTCTGAGAGTGTCCCCTTCCTCTCTGCTTGCAGAAAAATCGTCTTGTCCAGCAGAGGAGTTAACTTGCTGTGTAAGTAGAAGGGATGGTTAGGAAACATCAATGTTCATTCTAAACAAGAAAACAGACCTAATATTTGAAACTCCGTAGCTACAAAAGGTGGAATATTGTTGGGGAAAAAATACTGAGAATTCATACAGGTTTTAAGTAGGGAACTAATAGAGGATTTTTAAAAGAAAAAAAAAAAAACACAAATCAAACAAGCAAAAACACAAAAATACCACCACCACCAAAAAAATGCTCTGTGGGTTTCAGTGGAAGTAATGAACATTTGCTAAAATTACCGGAGTGTTAAAGGCATGTTTCTGGCCTATGGAAAGACAGAAGTGGGCAATAAAGGCTGTCCTCAGGCTGGTGTTCAGATAAGAATGAGGAAGATAAAAGACTGAGGCAAATCAAGCGGTGAGAAACGGATAATGATCTATGGTGGAAAAAAAAAATCTAGTAGAACAACTGTTGAAAGTTTACAAAGAAACCAGTATAATAAATGTGGTGAAATAGCTGTTACTGTACTTCACTGGTATATTTTCTTTAATAAGAGTATGGATCTAAAGGCAATGGAAGCAGACTAATTCCTCTTCTTTAGGATGAAAAATCGGAACCGAAAGAAACTTGAGTCCCCTTCAGAACAGGACTAGGGGGGAATAATACTTCTCAAGACCAATGAGGTCTTAATGTGAATACCAGCAAAGAGAAAAATATCCCTTGAGAGAAGGCTGTTGGGACAAATTGTGAGCATGGGCAGGGAGCTACGCTGGCCTCGAGAGATGGAAGGAGAGAGTGTTTAATAAAATGCTTTAAGGTCTTGCTTTTCAAGGATTTTTGAGCAGAAGGCAACCTTTTCAGTCTTAGTTCTCAGCTGCTGATGGCATCCGCAGTCATCAATTAGATATTTTTCCCATCATAGTAGACCAAATAGTGACATAAATTTACAAATGACAGGCGGAAAGCATTTTAGAACTTAGTTTTTATCCAGAATCCAAAAATATTCTGGCAAATATAGACGTACCTGAAGGCTTAGGGGTTATTTTTTATTCCCCTTACTCTGTTTGCATTCTGGCTGTGACCCTGCGGGAGTCCTGCATCTGTTGGTGGTCTGGGCATTGAACTTGAGTTCACGGATTTCAGTGGAAGTAGAGTGAGTCCATTTGCCTTCGCTGGTCCTCAACATTAAATGCCCAGCTTGTTCTTGCTTAGGCCCCACCTCTTGCTTAACACAGTACTAATTTGTGTGGTTTATAGTACGGTTTGCTTAAAAGAGAATTTTTGTTTTAATGTAGAGTCATTAATAGACTGAAGTTATTTCCCAGGCTGATGGACTATCTCCATCTCTCCTTTTTTAGTGCTTTGAATAACTCAGAAATTACTGATTTGTCTAGCAACTCTGAGAGAAAAGTTTATGTAGACAAATCCTGCTCCTGGCCAGTAGTAACTTAAAAGTTGGGTAGTGTTCAGAAAAGCATCATTCATAAAAACAGTGTTAATGAAAGCTGTAATAAGACCAAAGAAAAGGGAGTAATCATGGTGTGTGTAGTTATTTTTCCCTTTAAGCAAGCAGAAGGACTTTTTTTAACTACACAGTGCAAACCAGAGCTAGCTGATATGTCTGAATGGGCTTTGGGATTTGGCAGATAACTCAAGCAGAAATCAGCGATATGCTAGAAGTTGTGCTGCAATTTGATTTATGGTGAAAGCAGTCTTCAAACAGATTTGGGTTTAGTGTGTGTTTTTGTCTTCTCATTAAATGGGAACTGAAAATTAGAAGGCCATGTGTGATGACAGAGGAGGAAAGTGCTATTAATCAAAACCACTTTTGTTCATGTCTTCAAAGCCTTTCTGCCACCTTTTCCATTTTTGTCTGTTCCTATGTCTTCAGTTTAGCAGGAATTTATAATCTAAAATGAACTACAGTAGCAGAGTGACTTGTTCAAGATCAAGTGCTCTTATTCCTAAATACTTTCTACTCAGGAATGCTGAATGTTTCTAGAATCAAGATGTTGCTTTTTCAAGATGTTGCAAATTAATTAATTGTATGTTAAATATAGCCAATGTCTTGTATTTAAAAAAAACAAACAAACAACAAAAACAGAGTAAAAAATCCCTGATGTGCTCTTATACTTTTTGCTACTTCAGATACTGAAAAGGATCCAAAAATAATCTCAGTCTTGAAATTACCTGATCTGAGAAAATTTGATGAACCATCCAGTTAGACAAAAAAAGGTGTAGGACTATATTGCTGCTTCATACAGAGAAAGAGTAAGCAAAAGTAGGTATTGAGCCCAGACTGGTGGATTAATACCAAGCATATTTATAGTACAAAAGTATTGGTGTTAAAAAGGATTTATCTTCCAGCTGTGTTGCCTTACCCTACAAATACACGTGAGTAGAGGGGGGTTCACTGTATTGTTTGGGTTAAATTGTGTGGCGTGTGGCGATCTTACCTCTGTAAATAGCAAGGGATCCGCATTTCTGTTGAATTCTCTGTGTACTCACTGTTGCTTAAATGTATCTTCTCTGTGAATTAGTATGCCGCTTCCACCTGAGCAGGGAATGCAATATTTTACCTGAAAGGTATGTGCACCTTTTCTGTAGGGCAGCGACTGATCAGCATTACATTAAGGGAGGTAATGATAAACAATTTTTCATCTCTTCCCTTGAAGATGATACGAAAGATGGGAGAGGAAGACTAGCACAAAGATTAACACCTCCCCAAACTAGTTATTTTGCAAAGCTACATACCGATGCCCTGACCTTGTGCCAGAGAGCTGCATCACTGCAACAGAAGCATCATCCTGCGCTCTCCGATGTCTCCGTCATTGCTCAGTTGTTTCTCTCTGAGCTTCCACTTGGATCTTAATTCACTTTTTGATTTACAAGGTTTGGTACGGCTGCACTAAAGCCAGGACACCGAGTAAACACTCATGGATTCTCTTGCCTATGGTTACAAACAAAAGGCTATGGAAATGTGGGGGGTTTTAGCATACTTGAAAAAGAAAAAAATCTCCACTTGACAGGAATAACTGTTCCCAGAAACTCGGGTTGCTGTAGCCTGTACGTTACCAAGGTACCACGGTATCAATAGAGGAGAAAGAAACACAGAGGATTGTTTGTTTCTTCATTACCCTTGGCAACAGTATCATCTGGGCCTTTCATTTTTGTAAATGTGTTTTTCGTACTCCTTAAAAGCTTATGTCTATTTTACAACTCTGAAAACCTGAGCACAAATGGGAGCGTGTAGATGTATACATTTCTGGAAGCGTCAGGTTTTTATTTTAGTGTCATAACTTTTATAAAGAGGATGTGAATGTGACCTTTAGAGTGCTTCAGATTGGCAGTATCTAGTGATCTAGACTAGTGTTTAAATTTGATTTGGAAGTGTTTTCCTTATACAGTCCTGTATTTTAAGTTCCTGTATGTGTTGTATTGAATGCGCACTCTACTTTAATCTGTTAGTAATGGCGTATGATCTCTTGCACTCACTGTAAAACGTTTTGGGTAGGTATGTCATGTTCTCCTGTCTCTGTTCATACGCTGACATTCTTGGCTTCAGCTTTTGTATCTAAAGCAAAATGATGCCTTCACAGGTTGTATATTCTTTCGCCTAACTTCTTTAGTCTGTTGAAATTTGTCCACTACTTCTGCAAGTTAGCCAAAACCATTCTGTGTTATTTCACAGACATTTCATAAAGTAGGTAGGACTTACTTAGTGGGGGAGGAGGGGAAAAGAAGTACTTTTTAATGTGTTCCTTTAAGTACGCAGGTATACACGGGACAAAGATGTTAGGCAAAAGCTGCTGGTTGCTTGTATTTCAAAATAATTTACTTGGTACCAAAAGGATGGTCTTCTAAATGCTGTTGGCACTCTTTCTCCAGCTCCTGCCAGTGGATGGACATCAAACAGCGTTAAACCACCTGGAACAACTGACCTGAGTGAAAAATTTGTGACAGCACCTCAGCTAAATGAGCAAGACACGTTGGTTCAGAGGGCAGAGCATATTCCTGCGGGAAAGCGTACTCCCATGTGTGCGCACTGTAATCAAGTCATTAGGTTTGTATCTGTTCATCCTGCGGGGCCCTCGGACAGCAGGGCTTTGTTTTGCTTTCGTGGTTTTTGGTTCCTTAGTTGTAAGTGGTTTAAGGCTCCATTTCAATAATGCAGAACACTGTTTTCATGCATGGTTTATCTAGAAAAAACTGAGAATGAGAGCCATGACAGAGGAAAACATTGTGAACTGCTAACAGTCACAGCCTTACAGCCTGTTTTACAGAGAACCAGAAAGGTGGGTGGAGTAGAGCAAAAGTAAAACCAAAGAAAAGTAAGTAAATTTAGTTTTCACTTACACATTCCAATAAAATTTAGAAGATTAGCAAATGGGAAACCGATCAGAGAGTGTAGTCTTACAAAGACTCGGAATACCAGGTTGGAAGGGACCTCAAGGATCATCTGATCCAAGACAACTAACTTGTCACGAATGTTAATTTATAAACCAGAATTTTGAATTGAGAAGAACAACAATAGCAGGCTCCATCCATAGAAGAAAAGCAAGGAATAGAGGCTTAACAATTGCTAGGACTGGATTAATAATAATTTCCTGCAATGTTAGATTTCACATTCTTTGGTGGGCTCTCTGGCCTTTGGGTATTATGGTAGCTGGTGTCCTTTACTTGTATGTCATGGGTATAAAAGGTTAAGCAACACAAAAACGAGTTTGCCAAACGAGATTAAGTTAAATAAATTCTGCTGAGCCCCTAAGGTATCCTATCATTAGCCAAAATTTCATATGGAGGAAGAGTTGAGTCTGGGTTGCATTGTTCAGTCAGTGATTTCTGACAATTCATCATGATTTCCTCATCCAGGGAACTGTGATCGCTTTTCATGTCAATGTGCAAATCATCCTGATTTTCATCTACCTTGTGTTTCATTTCTTGCCTAAAATAGATTTCATGGGATTATTGGAAGAAATGTATTCTTTCAAAGTCTTCTTGTTCAGTTACCTGCGTTGTTGAATTATGAAGGGAAAGTAATGCATTGTAATATTTCTTTTTTATTCATCTGTGTCCTGTGTTTTCAGTGAACAAAATAGGAGAGCCTGCACTATGTTACACCATGGTTAAAGAGAGAGACTTTTTTGATTAGAAAAGCGAGTTCTGAAAAAGGAGGACCTCCGTGAGCTGTATAAATTTAATTCAGAATAATAGGAAATCAGCCTTTCTGCTTTGGCATTTGACAGCCTCTTGAGCCCCGGCTTGGATTGTGCATCAGAAGGTGCAGATAACTTGCGTCACTTGATCTTTAGGGATGAATTGAGTCCAGCTTGCCTACCTCCATTAGATTTCCATTCTGGTAGTTCACTACCAGTTCAGTTAACATCAGGTTAATTTTAGAGGACTTTTTCCTAACTGATCTGCAGGGTTTTGGAGAAGTTTTTCCTACTTCCGTTCTATATGTCAGGGTAATAAAAATTTATTTTCTGGATCCCCTTGAAGCAATAGAAGAAACTTCAAATTTCCAACATAGGTGTACATCTTTTCTAATCCAGATTTTTTGCTTCATGGCAAAATGGATGATTAATATAAAAAAAGTCTGCACACTTTTTGGATGAGATTCATCTGAGTCGTTGAACAGTTTGGCCCATATAATCTGACTTTTTTGTTCCCTGGGCAGTGGAGAGCTTTGGCTTTGTGGCTAGTAAAGAATATACGGGAGACCATGCACCTTCCTTTTTTTCCACTATCGTTTCAGTTTAAAAATTAACACGAACATAGCAAATCCGCTATGTTTATGTTGCACCTTTCATGGAAGAAACTCCAGTGCCTTTTAAGGCACCTGTGGTTTAGCAGAGTTCATTGATGCTCTGTGCCATGGGGTCTCACGGCACAGTCTTTAGATCACTTCTGAGCAGTCAACCTCTCGTATTGGCCCTTAAATCACTTGCTGCTTCTCTCTGCTTTGATGACCACTAAAAAGGAGATGAGCTGCCACCCTGTCCATGGAGCAACCTTTGCTCCTTAGTGGCTGCATGAGGGGAAGTTGTGGAGCCCTACTTGACAGTACTTAGGCCGTTATCACCTATTGTAAGTGACACCTCTTCATGAATAGTAACTGATACCCACCTCTAACTTCTTTGTAATTTGCTGGTGGTATTTAAATCCTTATATTTCTTTGTATGTTAAATGCCACCTCAATTATTAAAAGGAAGCATTGTTTCATTTGAGGATGAGTGGCTGCGCATTAATCAATGCCAAATATGCCTTGTGTTCACAGCATACAGTGGATTTGAAAGCTTGCAATGGCATTTTGAATTCAAGTTTTAGCATAATTACAGTTCATGCCCTTAGTGGTAGCTTTACCTGTGAAAAGGTAGGAGGAAGATCAAGTGACGTTGCATTGTACACCTGTTTTGAAGGCAAAATGCGTTGTGGAGTTGGTTACTTTACACTCAGGCATAGAATAACCATGGCTGGTTGAGCCAAAACCATTTCTTAGAGACATCTTATAACTTTTTAATATATTTTTAATTATTCATACCATGATTGTCTGAAGATTCCAGTTTTTTTCCAGAGCTTCGTTAAGTAAGCTTTTCTTTCCACGTCTGAAAGAATCAAAGTTGGGGGCATATTAAATTTCCCATGTACTTGCTGTGATGGTCTGACAAACTTCTGACATTTTCTGATGAAGATTTCTGGCTCCCGGGCAGTCTCACTGGGTGCTGCAGTGCAGAGGTGACTCTCCCTTTGAAGTCCACACGTGTTTTTCCTGCATCTCCATTCAGAACGTACTCTTTGGCCTGTCCGCTTGTCAATTATGTTTCAGTTTTGTCATATTTCCATACAGTTTATTTATTTTAAAGGGACAAGGGAGAAAGTACAAATGGTGCTTCCCTTCAGCATCTCTTACACAGAAATTACATAGTGTGGCATTTTCAAGTGAGGAGAAAAAGAAACTTCCCAGGATGTAGACTGCTGTGTGGTTAACTGTGGGTAGCTTACTTAGCAGATGTGGAAGTCCTGTTGATCTCTCTAACACCAAATTTCAGTTCTGGCTTGCTATCATAATATAAGCCACATAAGCTAGGTTATTGACATACTAATACATCATGACCATACTGATGAGTATTTAGTTACAAATGTACAGATACTGAAATGATGCTTATATGCCCTGTACGTTATTTACTTCTCCTCAATATATGCCCCTTATATCATTGCTACATGCAGGACCCAGTTGTTTTAGGGAGCTACCAAGTTTATGTACCTGTTAATCCTTTGGGGCATAAGATTCTGTAAATACTGTGGTAAATACATCAGAATCTCTTTTAAAAAAAATTAAAATAATTGTGACTATTTGCCTCTATCTGTGAGTTTCGTTCACGTGGTCTAGATGATGATGCCAGCAATTTGTTTGGAAATGCTTAGTGTGCCAAAGTAGCCTGGGATAGAGGTGCATTTGTAGCCAACTGTTGCCAGTTGGATCATCCCATGTCTTTGGATGGAAGGAACATGGGTTTTTTACTATCACCTTTAAAAATATGTTTTAGCTGACAGAGGCATGTGGGATTTTTTATTGATTTTTGGTTTTAAATGGGGAAGGAAGGATGAAGCCACCTGCAGCCATCTTCCTAGCATTTCACGCCCTAGCTACTTCCCACCAGGTTGCATGAGTGTGGGCATATGGCCCCCTTACTCAAATCAGGGCTTTAACCTCCTTTTCAAATGAATACAGCAAATAAATACCTTTCATTACTGGAAGCTATCGTTTTGATCGCAAAAATATGCAGAGACCAGGAACACCTCCAAGTTCTGAATATCATGTTTTAGTGTATTTTATGTGGCAGGTGTTTGTTTTGTTTTTTTTTTTTCCCTCCTTTCTTCCATGTGCTTTGGGGCAGCTTTTAAGTCACTGCTATCATTAAGCCACAGCGTCAGCTTGACATGTTTAAACTACGGCCTGATTAAAAGTAAAATTTTATTTAGAAAGCGTTCTTCTGGACACATGTGTGCAGGGAGCCAGCCTGCTAATGGAACACCTCAGAGACATTGTGCAGGGCACAGCCACAGCTGTCTGGGGACTTTGGGAAAGAAACTCTGTAGATGCACTCTCAGGCTGTTCCCCATCCGTCTGGGTTCCTGCACGCTGTCCTGGATGGCTAACCTCAAGATGTCAGAGCTGTAAACTCTGGAGAGCTAAATGCAGCAGATGTTGTAAAAATTCCTTCCCCTCCCTTCGCTAGCATGCTTTCTTTCCATTGCAGAGCTACCCGAGACTATCGTTTCGGTGCAGATGGCCACAAACTCAATCCTACCTGGAGCCGGGAGAGCCTCTTCGGTGTCAGCCCCATGTTAACGAATCTGTTAAATTAGCCTGTGCTGACACAGCGCGCTGGGAGCACTTTGTTGTACATAAGGGCTTGTATTGTTTGATCAGTACATAACTGAAAGGGCATTCATGTAAAAAGGTGCTTGTAGGGCAGCGGGAGGGTATCGGGTTAGGTCAGTGTTTGCACTGCTCAGGCAGCCGCTGGGAGCCGGGGGCCAGAGAGCTGTGCTCGACTTCGGCTCCCTCCTTAAAGGGCTACAAGCTGCTCTCCAGGAGCCCTTTTTCTCTGCTTTCTTTCTGATAACCAGAGGTAAATAGAAAGAAATGTTTGCAGATTAAATACGTTCATCATCTCAGAAGGTGTGTGAGTTGTCCTAAACCTGTTTGAGTCCCTTATTTTTGACTTCTCATCCTGTTGAAAATACATAGTGTCTCAGGAGAAAATGTAGAAGAGAAATGGAAATAATTACCCCCCTCAATGAAGTTGCCCTCTGCCTGCTTATATTCCCATCCCTGGAAACAAATTTTAAGGCTTTTTCCTTCTCTGTTGCTTCGTTCATGTGAGAACCTTGCCTTACACAAAAATGTTCTTGTAGCTTATTGGATTTAAAAAAAAATAATAATTTAGCATCAACATGGTGATATTAGTACCTTACACTTTTTTTGCAGTGAAGTATTAAATCAGAAAAAAGTGATACGTTACTAAAAGAATGGCCTCTTAATTGGTATTGCAAAATGGGAAATCTGGTGAGGGAGGTCAACCTGAACCACAAAGTTCCCCTAAAACCTAAATTCTGGAAGATTGAGTGTTGGTGGGACCTAGAATGCACCTCGTTAAAGTAAATAAGTTCATTGAAGAAATTAGCATGCTGACTGTGTTTTCAGATGAACACAGATACCATGGCATATGCCTGGGATTTATGAGTTACAAACTGAGAAGTTTTTGTTGACGTAGGAATGACCAGTTTCACCTTGTCTATTAACCTTGTTGCATTAGCCAGACAAATGCTATAAAAGCATCGTTACTGTGTGTTTGCAAATAGTAGAGGAGGCTCTGTATTTGGAGAAAATGGTTGTATTTTAACTAACTTGTGTAGGGGAGAAAAACCACCAAACAAACCACCAAAGAAAACCCCCAACAACTGGGATGGGTTACCTGTAACAAACTTGTTTGATAAGGGCAGCAATTGAATTTTTGTCTCAAGAAACAGGTATTATTGGCTCGTAATGGAGGCAAGTCTACTTGAACATTTGTGGCCTTAATACAAATGCACACTGAAGGAGAGCTGATTGTATCACTGAGTCGAGTATCTCTTTGCAATAGATGGAAATAATTGGGAACGTGGGGAACATCCTCCTCCCAAGCAGCCACTTCAGCGCTGTATTTAATGTAGTTCTAAAATAAGATTTCTGAAACGCAGTGAAACAAAGAGAATTGGTATTTATTGTGACCAGGTGTTTCTGGGAGATAGTTCAATGGGAATAGATCTAGTCAACACCTGATGCTTTCTTAGAGCCCGTAGGAGGAAAGAGGGATGGAGCAGTATAAGGTTGAGAACAGTATAAGAATGGCACAGAGGTATCGCAAGGTAAGCCTATTAACAGCTTTCGCGGGAGCCAAGCAGGGGCGTTTGCTGACGAAATCTCTTCTTTCTAACCAGAGGACCCTTCTTGGTGGCTTTGGGGAAGTCGTGGCATCCAGAGGAATTTAATTGTGCTCATTGCAAAACCTCCATGGCTTACATTGGATTCGTGGAAGAAAAAGGGGCACTGTATTGCGAGGTCTGCTATGAGAAATTCTTCGCTCCTGAGTGTTCCAAGTGCCAAAGGAAGATCCTTGGAGTAAGTGACTAGCAAGTGGCCTGTTTTTCAGTGAGAACAATAACCACAGTGTTCAGTGCTTCTCTGCAATGAAACTCCCATTTATCTGCCCCAGACTGCATTCCTCCTAACATACTCTGCCATACCTTTTCAGCTCCCATCACATACGGAATATGGTTTGGCTCTTCTAACGCTGAGCCTTTTCAGTCTCTTTGAGGAAAAGGTGCTGTAGTCTCCTTGGCTCTTCCAAGTTCGGCTCCTGTTTTCATGAAGATGTTCTCTAGCTGTGATTACTAAATTTTCTTGAGCAAAATGCTTTTAATTGGCAGCTTTTTACAAAATTGGAGGCGGGGGGAAGAAAAATAATCCTCCTTAACTAAGCAGAGAGCTAGGGAACACGCTGGTTGGCTAGATGTGAAGTACTGAAATATTCCCAATGGTAATGTAGATAGAAAGACGCATTATGCTACTCTGCACTGATATTGCTAATTTGAGCCCGCCAGCTGATCGTCGGCTGCTTTAGTGCAGACAGCAATGTGTCTGGACTCTTGTGTAAGTGGGGTCACACGGGGCTCTGGCAGTGCAGTTCTCAAGTCATATTTGGCACCGTAGCGTCTTCCAAAACAACGCAGAGCAGTCATAATTTTCTCTGTGATGTCTTCTGATTAACTATTCACAGACTTGAGGAGACATTGGAGATGCTGCTTTTCTCATTTCACCCGTTGTGGGTGAGATCCTAATTAAAATGGAAAAGGTGAACAAAGGATTTGTTAAGTCTGTCCAACTCTATGCTGAACCTTCCAAAGAATGAAGGGTTGCTTATGACAAATAAGGAGATGTACCATAAATAAAGCACCTCATTAAGTTTAACATCAGCAGAAATTGCGTGCACAATCCATTTTCAAAGTAGCAGTAGGAAACAAAGTATTCTTGAAAGGGATCAAGTGTGGAGGCAGGGTCACCACAATCTAGTCATCACATCAAAATAATGTGTTAATAACACTTTTTCTAATCCCCACAGGAAGTAATAAATGCTTTGAAACAAACCTGGCATGTTTCCTGCTTTGTGTGTGTGGCCTGTCATAACCCCATCCGCAATAATGTCTTCCACTTAGAGGACGGCGATCCCTACTGTGAGACGGGTAAGAAGCAACACAACCAAAGTTTATTGCAGCTGTGTGGGGAAGCAGAGCTTAATAAGGCTGGAAAAAACAATAATTCCTTCTTCTCAAGCTTCACTTCAGAAGAAGCGTCCCGGCAAACTCATATAACTTGGATATGTCAATTCAAAGCAGCAACAAATGCTGTAGACTGAGTTTGCAGCAGAACTTGGTGAGAATTTCTTCATTGGCTTCGGCAGGGGCAGGCTTCTTGTCACTGGTTTTACTTCTTGTTCCTGTTAAGTCCTCAGCTTAGGTATCAGTGATACAGCAAAGTGTTAATTTTAGGGTGACTTTCTGGTTGGCTTTAAAATAATCTGGAGTTTATGTAGATCTGCTTATTTACTAAACAAGCAAATGCCAGTGGAGTGATGTGTTTTACTCTGAATAACCTTATTCACAGCCGGGAGAGACTTCCAAGAGTAAGTAGTCTGCCCAGGAAGTTTTGTGTAGGATCAGGGATAACATCTGTTGAACGTAAGCTTGGGATAAAAAAACCCCAGGCTGTCAGGGGAAAAATACAGTGATACAATTATAGCACTTGAAAGCCATGTGAATGATGCGGCTGAGAAGTTCAGAGGGATTCTGGTTTGGTTTTCAGGACTTCCAGCTAATCGTATCTTTTTGATTAATATGAACAGTTTTTATGTTGGTTTCCTAGTTTGCTTAAAACTTTCCGTGTACCCTTCTGGGCTAGGAAAGAAATATTTGTAAACCAATTCCCACAAAATGGAAGAGAAACAAAAATGTATGAAAATTGTCTATATCCAAACTGCAAGCTGTTTACATCCATGTTAGAACCATCAGTTGGACCTTTTCTGTGTTTTTCCTTCTACTGTAAGGAACATTATAATTTAACTAGAGGTGGAAGTGGGTTGACCAGGAAGAGATTTAGCATGAAATCCTAGTGACCTGTTTGGAGCTAAGATTTCCTTCTGGGTTAATCCCACAGTTGTTGGCAGTGGGTGCCATGGAGAGTGTTAGGTACTGAAAGGGCGAGGAAAGCAGGCAAAATTTATCCAAAATTTCTCTTGTCAGAGCAGCTTAATGAGGTGTTGACGGATACAAAAGGGCGCAGTAGGTTATTGCTAACTCAGTGATACAAGTAGGGTAACGTGTTGCTCCTATTGAATTCGTGGAGCAACAGAGGAAATGGATATATGAGCAGCATCCTCCAGTGTGACAGCACGGTGAAATTTCATCCTGAAGCAATCTGAAGCCCCTAATCTTGGAACCATTTGATGATTCAAAAATAGTACTGGAGGAATCGATAACTCCCCTTTGGGTGGAAAGCTTGTGACCGGGTTTGTTCTGCTAATATTGAATTCTTGTTCCTGCCACCAAACCACCCGCAGGTTGTGCGGTGCATTGATTTGTGCTACTGTTACGCGCACAATGCGCACTTTTCTATACTGTGAGCAGGAAACACTGGGATAAAATGTCAAGAATATTATACTTCTCACAAAGTTTATTTCTGAGTTAACTTCTGCTAGCAACTTTCTAATGTAGACACGTTCTGTGAGGTGTTATTGGCAGTGATACATTGTAATGGCTCTGGCTTTCTAACTAGATGTTAATTTGAGGTATAGTCATTCTTTAAAAACTTTCAGTCCAGCTGGAGTTAAGAGTCTAAGACTAATTTTAAAGAAATAAGGGGTAAATGTCATTGCCAACTTTCCTTCTTCCTAGTGCAAAAGGTTCTAATTTAAAATCTGTATTTAAAATTATAACAGTATCAGCTATTAGTATTAAGGGGGTTTACTCTGCAAGATGTTCTGGGTTTGGAAGTTGATGCTAAAATTTAATTAAAAGTGCAGATATCTACAACTTTAACTCTGCACTTAAAAAAAGTTCAGTAACCTAGTTTTGAAAATGCTGTGTGCAGGAAGCATCAATATGTGACTGTATGAGAAGTCTGCCTTGGAAGGCTTCTGTGGGATCACAACCCAAGCATGCAAAAGCAAAAGAAAGCTGATGCCCTTCATTCTGCCTTATCTATTGCCCTTTCTTCAGAAGAAAAGCCAATAAACTTATCAACACAAACCACAGGCCAACTTACAAAAGGCTTTAACTACTGGCACCAGGAAAATATCAGTAAAAGATCCTGTATGAACATGAATGCGAAGAGCTGAAACAGTACGGTCATGAGACCATGTCCTTCAGGGGTTTTGGATGGAGGTGTTCTACTATTCGATATTTTTATTGTCTGTCTTCTGTTTAAACACTTGCAAATTCATGCTAGTAGCATGGATTAATGAAGGTGATCAGTAAAGCTGTTTCTTGCCACTGACAGCCATCAAGGGCTTTGCTTTTCCAGAGCACTTGTGTTGCCCATCCTGCTAAGATGCCTCCTATGATGATGCTTTTTGTGGTCATCGTACAAAACAGTGTCTTACTAAGCCAAAACAGGAGTCTTCCCTTGGGCTTGACACGTGATAAGCCTCTGTTGGCTCTGCTGCAGTAAGCACTAGAGCTTCAGCAGATCTGTATAATCTGGTAGAGAAACAAAATCTCTTTGTGTCCTGCTTGCCAGTCCTTATAAGGCTCCTTGAAAACAGCCCCTGACATCTCATTTCCCTGTCAGAGCCAGTGTTAGTATTAAGAAGGATGAAGTCCAAAGCTTGATCATGCTTGCCACTCTGTAGTTCATCTTCTGAAGATGTAATGTTGCATGAGATTATGTGTTTGGCATGGCAGCGTGCTGCTGATCCCAAATTCTTTTGTGTTATTAGCACTAATGCTGTTGTCGTCTGTGCAGGAAAAAAAACCATTTCCTCCTTAGAGTGGTGTGTTTGAGAGTTGAAATAAGTGGAAAAGACCAGACAACTTTGGGTGAAATTTAGGTCTGCGCAGGTGGGCAGCGGAGGGCTGCGGTGACTTGTAGTCCCTGCGATGGGTCTACACGCAGAGAGTGTCACGCACTGAGGTTGTTGGGGTGGGGATGGGTGTCAGTGCCTCTCACCCAACATTATACGTGTATTTTATCCTGCTAGTCTGCCCTGCTCTCTCTTTTTCAAGCTCTTCAGTTGGTGGGTAATATGAATGGTTCGGTGCCCTTGGTCCCTGCTCTCTGAGACTGCTGGAGGGACTTTTCTCTGCTGACTCTGGGGGAGTTTCGAGAGGCACCAAGTTAAATGAATGGTGCAAATACCCTGCAGTGATTCCAGTCACTAATAACCATCCTGACACCCTGCTGATACCTTTTTTTTTTTAAACACAATAAATATATTGCCTTAAAGCCTCTGATTTGTATTTGGTTTGATTATTTTTTTTTTAAAGCCATGTAGTAAACTCCAGTGATTAGAAAACTGTTCTGACTTGATCCAAATTGCTAGACTGTTTAGGACAGAAGCCTGACAATTGCATGATTTTGTGTAGTGCAGTCTGGGGCAAATATTGTGCCAGAATGTAGGCAGGAGTTTGTTACTCGCTGAGGAGGTCTGGCGTGTGACCAGCCAGGGTACGCTTTCGAGGCAGAGCCGGAGAGAAGGCAAGAAGCACGTGGAGTCCACGCAGGTGCTCTGCAAGGTGTGCAATTTCCACCCCCTTGAGCGCACTATTGATCTCAAGGAAATGAAACACCAGGAAGATGGAAGCATTGCTCACTTGAAAGGATGAGGAAGGGGATGAGAACTGAATTAGCGAGGAAAGGAGGGCATCCCGGTCTTTCGATCTAAGAGCTCTTTACTCAGTGTACCCAGTATTATAAAACTCGACAAGAACAAACCCACTGCCGTTGAAAGAAAACCACAAAGGCTTCAAAGGGTCAGTCTCGCTTTTCTGCTTATGCTTCGTCTTTAAAATCTGTTTGTTATTTGTTTGCAGATTACTATGCCCTCTTCGGTACTATGTGCCATGGCTGTGAATTCCCCATTGAAGCTGGAGACAGATTTCTTGAAGCTCTGGGCCACACTTGGCATGACACTTGCTTTGTATGCTCAGTAAGTAAAGCTAGTCTACATTTTAAGCAAACCCATGGCAGCAGTGCTTGTGCTAACCTGACCGATATGGGAGTTAACAGCTATAACCTCTTTCAATCCTCTGAGCCCAAACAAAAAGCACTTTCCCAGTTATTTGGAAGGTGGACTGCTATTGTGAGCCTTTGGCAGGGGTCCAGAGGAATTGGCCTGGATTGCAGACATGTGTCCTAGCATTTAACCCTCGTTCCTCGGAGCAAGTGCTGAAGGCTATGCATGAACAGGCTGTGTTTCTAAAGTAGCAAGACTGCTTTTGAAATAAAGACACTGTAGACCTGCTAAAACTGTGCGACTGAAAAAAAAAAAAAAGCCCCAATCCTAATGATTGGATTTTTTTTTTAAATACTGAACCTAACTGTGCTCCCAGTTAAGAACCTGTTGACTTAAAGAAAGGAAGGCTGTGTTTACATCAACCATTAGTATTGCATCAGAAAGAGTATCCCTAAGAAAAAGGTAATAATTCTTGTTCTTTGAATATATTTGTGCATAGAACAATGCCATGATTTGGCATTCCGAATAATGTATGGTGTAATTTATCCATCTCAATTGGGCGATCTTTTCTTTTTTTTTTTGTCCCATTTCAGGTATGCAGTGACAGTTTGGAGGGTCAGACTTTCTTCTCCAAGAAGGACAAGCCACTGTGCAAGAAACATGCTCACTCTATCAACATCTGATGCTTGGAGCTTATCTTGTGTAACAAGTGTACTGAGCAGAAAGAAAGGTTAAAATGTCCGTGTTCAATAATTGGTTAAATTTTTTTGTATACGATTTTCTAGAATGGAAGAGAAATGTGGGAACTTGCAGAAGGAGTTGTACACTGATTTTTAGAGCATTTATCAGTTAGGGTTTTGCTTCATAAAGAGATAGAAATTGGGAATGCACCCAAGCCAAACGATTAGAGTGCCTTTACCTCTACACTTGGCATGTTACTATATTGGTTTCATGATTTTATGACAACATTGATATCTGCTTCAGTATGAGCAGTGAAACATCTATAAAAATAAGTACCTGATATAAGAAGTCTTGGTTTGCTGCTATTCAGCAAATAAAAGGAGGTTGGCTTCAGCAATCCAGATGACTTTATTGTGCTGATGTTCTTTAAAGTTTGTCTAGAAGTATTGCAGCTAAACTTCATTAAGAGGAACTCAAAGCAAAGATAAGATTATACGGAACATATAGGTCAATACTGGTATTTTTATCTGATGCTCCTATACGTGAAGCTTCCTGCACCATTACACGTACCTGTGCCTTTGCAGTTAAATCTCTGATGGATCTGCAAAGGACAGAGATTTTTACAAAGCAGTTAAGTGGGGTGGTGACTATGCTGGTGAACAAGAATAGTTTAGAAGATGCCACTTAGAAGAAAACATAAAAGGGATACTCTTCTTTAATTCCTGTACTACCAGAACACCACCCAAAAAAACCTGCTAGTGAAGGTGTGATTGACAGGATGGAAATGCCAGATCAGATCTTAAACATAAGGGAGCAGGGAATCCCACTCCTAGGTTCGCAGTTCGTGTTTTAGATAGTTGTAAGTGCCTTGGAAAGGGGAAATTGCACTGAATCTGCAGGTAACGGTGTTTTATATCGAAAATGTGAGACTCTGGTGTTGAATGAGGGAAACTGCTGAAGTGCAACTGAGGACATTGTTTTTCTCTCAGTACATTGCTTACCATTGTAGCTTGTGAATATGTATATTGGTGGTGTGCCAGGTAGTGTACCGAAAACTTAATTTCTTGCTCAGCTGTTAGGATTTTTATTAGTTTAGGTTTTATTTCTCTCTTTTCCTCCAGATGTGGGGAATATATTGTTGAATAATATAGTACTGAGTTAGGCAGCTCAGTATCTCTCAGTTCTTGCAAGGGAGCGGAGGGACAAAGCTGTCATTATGCCTTTACTGCGAGCCAGGAGACGCAGCCAATTCTGTGGCTCGATACGAATTTTGCCTCCATACAGAGAGTCAGCGCAAGACCTGCGCGCCAGTGAAGTCCCACTTAACTTCAAATTAGGGCTTAAGTGGTACGGAGCAATCGTAGGCAGATAGGGAAGAGGTGGCAACCCTCTGCATGGGGTGAATTTCACTCCAGCAGGGTTGCACTAAGGGCCACATCAGATTCCTGAAGGAAACTGAATTTACATGCTGTTTAATTCAGTGGGGATGTCAGAGTTGAACTGTTAGTCTTTAGTGCTCTTTCTAGGAGACTTTAAAAGTAACTATTTAGTAGTTTTGTTGGTGGTTGGTTGGGGTTTTTTGGGTGGGTGGGTTCTTTTTGGTTTTGGTTTTTTTTGGTGTTTTTTTTTTTTTTTTTTACTGATACAAAGGACAGGTTTATCCATAAAACCATGGGGAGAATCAAGAAAAATTGCCATGGTTGAGTAAAGCAATTGTAACAAGGAATGTCAACAAAAGAGGGGGAAAGAAAACCAAAGTTGCTGTACTGAAATATGAAAAGATATTTGGCTTTCTTATTAATTCAGAGGGACAAGTTCACATTGTGGGGCTGTTTCACTTTATTTCCTGAAGTTGATTTTCTCCAATGCTACCACGTTTCTTTTTTTTAACTTCTGGTGGTACGGAAGAAATGGCATAAAGCTGTTGAAAATGTTTACGCTCTTGTAGATGTACCCATTTGTGAATTTGGCTGAAAATCAGAAGGGTAGAAGCAGGCTGGACCAGATACAGTAATCTATGAGCCAGGTTGCTTTTGAAATTAGGTGGAACGTGGAGAAATGAGACCTAGAGACTAGGTTTCAGTGGAGCTATATTGCACATGCGAGAGGAAAGAGGATGGGAATGCACAGGATAAGGCGTTCAGTAATTGCTGCAATTCAAACCTCGCTATTTTAAAGTAGGATAGAAACTTTTCAGTTTGCCATTGTCTTTAAATTGAATTTTGTTTAGTTTCATAATTTTAATTGGAATTACATTTCTTAATCCATATGCTCTAGGGTTTGAAATTTTGCAGTCGTTAATGAATCGAGGACAAAAGCCTGAAAGGCTCCAATAGTACTGCTTCATTTAGCTGCCTTGCCTTTTAATTTCTGCTTTTATCTATTTGTTTAAAATGTAAAAGGAAGCATAGAGTCACTGATACATAATGAATATTTAATGGCTCTACCGAATTATATAAATCAACTAAAAGGAACATAATTTTTATCTTTATTTTAATAAGTGAGATTTTAGTAGAGCACTTTATAATAATGCCATATATCTCACGGAATATTTATTACTTTTTGTGTTTAGGACTATTTCATACTGGTATCTTTGTATTTTATTTGTAAGACAGCATATTTACCTCTAGAATCTTCTGTTCTGTGAGTGTGTGTATGTGTTTGTATATACTTCTCTATACGTGCACACATATGCGTGTGCATTGAGAGACATACATATATATGCACATCTACATACATGTATTTGACCGCAGACTTGACATAGCAAAAACCAGCACCGTTCCATCATCATCTGGGGATTTTGTGAGATTCCCAACTATTTTTCATACAACACATGGATAGCATTCATGTTTTGAAGGAATGTTAGAGAGTCAGGAGAGACATGTTAGTAACCTAACTACTGTCATTTTTCATGTGCATTTCTAGTCAGTAATTATTTTCCTTCCAAAACTGCCTGTAAGAGAATCGGGTTTAACTCTGAAGGTAGAAGGTCTTTGTAAGTGAGTAACTGAATCATGATGATGATGGTTTCAGTATATTGTGACTAAATAATTCAGAATTATCTGTAAATATAAATGCTTAATATAACAATGCAATAAACTTAAAAGCAAAAGTTGAGTTGTGGTTCAGCATGTGTTGGTCTGTTCAGTTGTGTGCCTGTCTCTTCATGGAGCTATTCGCATCATCTAGCCGCACGAGTGGCTTTGCAAACAAGAGGAAGAAGGGGAACTACATCAACTCGCAGATTATTTGTTTGAATTTCCTTTTTTTTCATTGTCTTACACTAAACAACCAGCTGTTACGTCCTGATGATTTCTGTGCTTGTGTTTAATGCCTTTGGCATCAAATTTTGGCTCTTCACATTTGCAAATTTAATTGGAATTAAAAACCAAAACAAGTAAATAAACGCAACACAAACCCCCAAACTCTCTATCTGTCCTCACCTGTTTTGTGGTAGTTGGATGTTTTCTTTTTCTGAATCATAGTTGGTAAAAGAAAGTCGTGATTGTACACGTGAATAGATATCATTTGAGTTGCTTGTTCTTCAGTTTTTTGGAGCAGAACAGAGGTTTGCTTTACAGAAAAGGACCTGGGGGTCCTGGGGGGCACCAAGTTGACCATGAGTCAATGATGTCCCCTTTGGGACAAGGAAGACCACCAGCCTCCTGGGGTCCATTATGTGGAGCATTGCCAGCAGATTGAGGGAGGTGATCCTTTTCTCTGCTCAGCGTTGGTGAGACATGTCTGGAGTGCTGGGTCCAGTGCTGGTCTCACAAGTACAAGAGGTGTGGACAAACTGGGGTGAAGAGCTAGGAAGATGATTAAGGGCTTTTGGAGCATTTGTCATACAAGGAGAGGCTGAGAGAGCTGGTGCTGTTCAGCCTGGAGAAGGCCTTGAGGGATCTCATCCATGTGTTGTACAAATACCTGGAGGAGGGAGTAAAGAAGGTGGAGCCAGACTCGGCTCAGTGGTACATAGTGGCAGGACAGCTGTGAGGATGGTCAAACACTGGCACGGGTTGCCCAGAGAGATTGCAGAGTCTCTGTCCATGGAGACACTCAGAACCTGAACGGACACGGCCCTTGGACTAGACGAGGTCCCTTCATCTCCAAAGCTCCCTTCCAACCTCAGTAAGTCTCTGATTCTCCATCTTTTCTCAAGAAGGAATGAAAGATGGAAATATGGTATTGAACGCTGTAGAAAATGTAACAACGTAAAAGTCTATATTGGCCAATTACTGTTTATTTGCTATCTTTACTTCATTCAACCGCCCGTCTAGAATACTTTGCGATATTTGTTTAAAGTGTTTAATATTTTTTCCTAAGTTGAGACTTTTCAAGGAAATACTGCCTGCTCTGGCAAGCATTAGCCGATACCGCACTTAGCCTTGGCACGCAGCAGCCTCTGCTTTCACCGCGGGATACTTAACCGTTTGCTATAACATGGCCAATTACTTCACGATAATACCAGCCTGGTAAGCCTCTCCTTAGCCGAGTATCTCTTAACTAGGCAAATGCACCGTTGTTTTCTACCTTTATTTACACAAGTGAAGGAAAACACTGCACACAGCTCTATAAAATTTAGAGGCAACTTTACAGAAGACTTGCCTCCCCTTCAGTGTTTAGGCTATGAAGGAGACAAACGCAAGTCTATTTGCAAACAGTATATTAAACTCCAGAAGCCAAACTTTTAAAGCCATCAAGTCTGCATTTGACATTTTAATGGCAAAGGTTTGGTTTCTGTCAATCACAATGTGGTGTAACATTAAAATGCACCGACAAAAAAAAAAAAAGATCTGTCATTCATTCATTAAGACACTGTAATCCAGTGTAAGATTTATAGGCTTAAAACTCAACAGTGTGTTTTCACAATAAATCCACTTTCACTGCTCGGCACAGAACAAATCTCTCTGTCACTCAAAATGTTTGCTGGTCAAAATGCCCTGTATGAGATCTTCAAAGGGTTTCGCACAAAATTGCATATAAATCCTTTTACCAGCAAAGGCTTAATTTAGGTTTGAGTTTTACTTTCTCGGGACATTGGTTAATATCTTATGCTCAGACAAGATCTTGGTTATATCAGAAACACATAGGGCCTAATTTATTATTAGCAGTCTGGTGTTAATTAGGGGGAATTACCAGAAATAGTTTGCTTGATGGAAATTTATTATGGGATCACACTTTACTGATGGCAAAATAGGAGTCACTGAAAGAGTGCAGCTCCTTCTCATAACCAACTAATTAATAAGGTGCCAAAATTCCTCTGAGAAGGGTTTGGTCCTAACTATGGGAACCTCACAGAGCAAATGGTTCCTATGCAGTATTTAAAATTTAAAAGAGGAAAAGAGAGAGGAGAAAAAGCTGCCCAGCAGAAGTCTCAAAAGTGGTATGGCTTTTTCTTGAATTTATAAAAGAAAATATTTAGCTGTGTTTCCAGGCTCATTAATGAGTTGCTTTTCCCAGACAGAAAAACAACAGCTAGTTTGTAATCTCCTTTGCTGTGCTTCAACTTGGGTTTCAGCTTTACTTGTGCATACTGCATGCTACAGCTTGTAATTTTACGAACTGGGCTTATAATGAGCTTTTATATTGCTCTCTATTGCTCTGCCTAAAGGTCTTTTTCATTATCATTTGCCATGAAAGTTGAGGTTGGCATAGATAGGAAACTTGTGTCGATGACTGAAAAATGGGGCAAAGTATCCATATCTCAGATAAACCCAAATCTAGCACACGTACAGCGGTTTGAGGATAGGAAATCACTGTCTGTTGTTAGGGGGTCTCATGAAAGTTTTACTTGTGTTGGAATGGCATGCTATAATAAGATGGATCGCAAGCAAAAACATCTCTAAAGAAATTTAAAATCACTGTGCTACAATTTACACATTTGGAAAGATATTTTCCATAAGATATTTTTCAAAAGTATTTACAATGGTAAGGTATGCAAATTGTAATAAAGCGCTTTTGTGTTTGCACTGGAAATACCTTAAACGCTCTAAAAATATCTAACATTTGGGGTGTGTTTTAAAAGGTTTCTCCTATACTGTGAAACTAAGGATTGTGTCATTGTGATCTGAGTAATCTTCACACTTTCCACAGGATCACAGTTATTTCCTTCTTAGCACTCGTGCCTTCACGTCACTTTTTCTTACTGCTGGGCAGTGCCGTTGGTTGTTTTAAAGCATTTCAGTACAAGATAACCCTGTCAGGTGTGTCCCGTATTTCTCTTTGTGATGCATCAATGAAATGTCAGATGTTCCTTTGCTAAATATAAACTTGCACTACATTTTGGCACGCTTTCCAAAGTGTCAAGTTTTCCCACCCAGAAGTTTCCGCTGGAAAAATAACTCAAGATACCTGACCAAAGTGGTAATTGTATCCCACACAAACTCCTCCTTTCTCTTGAAATCCATCAAGCAAAAGGGAAACACATGAAAAGAAGCATAGGGCCAAAATCACTGATAACCTAAGCAGATACAGCCCCACTGATTTCAACTTACTCTCCTCCAAACTAAAAACGACTGGTATCAAAGCTACAGTAATTTTAAGCTTACATTTGCCCAA